ACATAAACTCGTAACTATTGTTACGATAAAATATGTCCGCCTACGATGACGAAGCAGCGGTGGTGTCGGAGTTACGAATACAAATGTTGGGGTAGAAATCTATACCGCGAAAGTATTGGGTTGGCAACTAAGTAATTGCCGATTTGTTCAATGAAATAAAAAATTCTTTTTACTTGGAATGAAGTTTAATCTGTGATGTATTTTCCATTTTGTTCGATGACCTTTTGCCGTCTCTCTGACAACTTGAAAATTCCACGCTCGTAGAAAGTCTGATCCTTTTCGGCCAAAAACGCTCAGATTGTGCAGAAAAATGGACAATTTGGGAACAGGAGATACGATTATTCCGACTTTGCACCATGTTTTTATAATCGTTGACAATCGGTAACTATTGGGTTGGCAACTAAGTAATTGCCGATTTGTTCAATGAAATAAAAAATTCTTTTTACTTGGAACGAAGTTTAATCTGTAATGTATTTTCCATTTTGTTCGATGACCTTTTGCCGTCTCTCCGACAACTTGAAAATTCCACGCTCGTAGAAAGTCTGATCCTTTTCGGCCAAAAACTGAGTTAAGTGAGATTTTACAGCGTCATCATCGTTAAAAGTTTTACCACGAAGGGAGTTGTCCAGGGATCGAAATAAGTGGTAATCCGATGGCGCGAGATCAGGGCTATATGGTGGGTGTAACATCGATTCCCAACCAATTTCCATCAATTCTTGCCGAGTGGACAAAGACGTGTGCGGCCTAGCATTGTCCTGCTGGAAAATGACACCTTCACGATTGACCAATTCTGGTCGCTTTTCCTTGACCGCTGCATTCAATTTGTCCAGTTGCTAACATTCACGGATAATAAAAAATAACCTAATAATAATAATAATAATTTTATAATATAACATTTACGGATATCATAAAAATGGGAGTGTGAGACTTCTATAACTGAAATCGGCAATTACTTAGTTGCCAACCCAATAGTTCGTGGCTCACTAAGTCAGTGGCTTCGCTTGAAAAGGGGGAGGGGAGGATGGTTAAAACCTACTTTTTTTGATTCTTTCTAAAAAATAAGTTTATAAAAGTCTGTGTGCACTTCGAAAACATGCACTCCATCTCGAAGGAAGAATCGAGTGATACTTGTATTCTTCATTCTTCGTTTGAAAATATTCACACTTTATTCACTGGAAGTCTAAGGAAATATTGTCGTCTTGAACAATATTTTTATAAATTCTCGACACTTGATACGTAACGTGTTCGTCGCTGTCTTTAGTATTCATTCGAGCATGTTAACAGAAATAGAGTAGACAAGTATTTTTCACATCTATAACTGAAATCGGTAATTACTTAGTTGCCAACCCAATATTTGCGGGTTAAGCGAACACCGATAAAAATAACAAATCATTTGGATTTTCCGCGATTACGGTACGTGCTCGAATAAAGATGGCTACCGAATCATTTCCGGCGAATGCACGTCTGCAATTTCAATAATCGTGAAATAAAATATCTCGGTACGATGATTTGACTGGCGATGGTGCGGCGTTAAACGAAGGCGAGATAGCCAAAGGAATACGAATGGTGTCGTCATGGTGACGCTGTTGCGGGGAAAAAGGCGAGACAAGAATCCTGGCCCGTTCTTTCGAAAACACCGACCGGTGTCACGGATATCGTAGAACGGAAAAGGAGAGGTTTACCGCGACGAGAGCCGCGCGAGTGACATGCGAACGACACTCGAACAGCATACTGCAGAGCAAAAGGAACAGAGGGGAATGCGACTTCCTCTATACATGGTCATGTGTGTCAGTACCGCAATGCTGTGGCGTCTTCTATCCTCGGATCAAGTGCGAACCACGAACGATCAGCTGGTATCGCTCTTCCCACATCAAACAGAGAGAGTTTCTGCGCGTGGACAGAATTTTAATGCCGTTCCCCGTTTGCCAGAAGTCGCATTCGCGTTGCTTTACCGCCCGAGACCAGCCTAATAAGAAGTTTAGGGGATGGACGTTCGTGGAACCGTTTGTTTCAACGGTTATTCGCTGTAACGGATTGTTCGAAAGCTTGTTCCGTTGCACAGAACAATTTATTTTCGTGGAAACCTAGCAGTTGTACGAATTTGGCCTGCACAGAACTTCGATAATACTAAAACTTACTCGGCCTAGATCGCTAATATTCCTCGCTGTATAAGAATAGTAAGACTCAGTTCACTTAGATCTTTCGGCATTTTTATTATAACGCATCCCCGAGTTAAAAAGATCGATCATTTTCTATGAAAGAGTCTTTATAATTTCAATCATTTTGAAATGAAGAATGAGAAACCGGTGTTTTTAAAATCATATGACAGACTTAGTGTGAAAATTATGCCAAATTATTCACAGATTATATCTGGCTTATATGATGAAAAAGTTTAAACAAGAGTTCCATAAAAGGGACGCACAATGTGGTAATTAATTTTTCGTTATTCTGCTTTTCTTTTTATCAAGACGCGAGTTTGTGTGTGTTCTTTGCGTTCGAGTTTGTTTGTACATGTTGATAAATCTTGTTTATTGTCAGTGTTCAACACTTTTGAGTTATCATTGGACGTCGTTGAAAATGATAAGTACGATGTCTGTGAAAGCTGGTGGCGATCGATGCGGCTCTAGTTGTTTATTAATACAGTTGGCGAAACTTCGGGGGGATTTTTGTGGGATTTAAACAGCAGCGACGATTTCAACTTAACCATAAATATTAATCTATTAGGAACAGAAATTATCCTCTAAATGTTTTAATTCGCGATGGTTTATGCAAGAGCCAAGAGCGAAACTATTAGCAACATAGAATTTTATAGTGCAAAGGTTCTGTCCTACTTCTCAGTCCAATTATCTCATTCTGCATCTTTATTTCATCTCTATTAATGTTTTCTTTATAAACGACGAATTTAGTCATTATGAGACTGCGATATTGTTTGTAACTTATTAAAGTTATTGAGAGCAGAACGAATCTGCGCAGGTGTTATTTCGCGCAACGAGTGTGCATAATTTTTTTTTTCATAATGATCCTCAGCTCAGTCATTATATTTGCTTTTTTTTAGCAATGAAGATATTTTTGACCATTAATATCCGACGTTCAAACCGACCACATTCGAATAAACTATTTCATAAATACATGAATGAAACTTTTTCTGTCAGTAATAACCCGATCGCGCATTTTTTATACAAAATGAAAATCGTGTGCATTAATTGCAAGATGCGAGAGATAAATACACATTCATTTGTTTCTTAAGCATTTTAATGAGTTGAAGGGAATATAACAGTATTTGTGAATTCTTGAAATGTGCTTACTGTTCCGCACGACCCATTCTTCGCATAAATGAATAAAATCCGCATAACAGACCGAAAATTGTATGCATATATGAGCCGTTTATTTTGAAAGTGGCATAAGTCACTTTGTTTTTAAGTCGATATATTTAAGGGTTTGCGTTTTAACACGTTTCAAAATATGGATGCTAACTTTCGAGAAGATTCACTTGTATTTGTTATCTCAGGATAATGATATTTTTCTCGGTATAAATAATTTCGTATAAACATTAAAAAAATCACCACTTTTCATTNGGCGATCGATGCGGCTCTAGTTGTTTATTAATACAGTTGGCGAAACTTCGGGGGGATTTTTGTGGGATTTAAACAGCAGCGACGATTTCAACTTAACCATAAATATTAATCTATTAGGAACAGAAATTATCCTCTAAATGTTTTAATTCGCGATGGTTTATGCAAGAGCCAAGAGCGAAACTATTAGCAACATAGAATTTTATAGTGCAAAGGTTCTGTCCTACTTCTCAGTCCAATTATCTCATTCTGCATCTTTATTTCATCTCTATTAATGTTTTCTTTATAAACGACGAATTTAGTCATTATGAGACTGCGATATTGTTTGTAACTTATTAAAGTTATTGAGAGCAGAACGAATCTGCGCAGGTGTTATTTCGCGCAACGAGTGTGCATAATTTTTTTTTTCATAATGATCCTCAGCTCAGTCATTATATTTGCTTTTTTTTAGCAATGAAGATATTTTTGACCATTAATATCCGACGTTCAAACCGACCACATTCGAATAAACTATTTCATAAATACATGAATGAAACTTTTTCTGTCAGTAATAACCCGATCGCGCATTTTTTATACAAAATGAAAATCGTGTGCATTAATTGCAAGATGCGAGAGATAAATACACATTCATTTGTTTCTTAAGCATTTTAATGAGTTGAAGGGAATATAACAGTATTTGTGAATTCTTGAAATGTGCTTACTGTTCCGCACGACCCATTCTTCGCATAAATGAATAAAATCCGCATAACAGACCGAAAATTGTATGCATATATGAGCCGTTTATTTTGAAAGTGGCATAAGTCACTTTGTTTTTAAGTCGATATATTTAAGGGTTTGCGTTTTAACACGTTTCAAAATATGGATGCTAACTTTCGAGAAGATTCACTTGTATTTGTTATCTCAGGATAATGATATTTTTCTCGGTATAAATAATTTCGTATAAACATTAAAAAAATCACCACTTTTCATTACGGTAAAGTGACTTATGCCACTTTCAAAATAAACGGCTCATATGATCAAAAGGAGTACATATAATTTAAAACACTAGAAAAATTCAAATAATTGAAGAATATCGATATGCTATCGTCAACTTGTTAAAACTATTAAAGAAAGAATAAGGTATATCTGTTTTGCTTCTATCTCTTGCAATCGATGCAGAACATTTTTATTTTGTGTGATAGATTTTGTATTTAGATTTTCCATCATTTTTATTAGAATGTATGCTCCCGTTAAGATATCGATTTAATCGTGTTCTGTGAAAGCGTCTACGCAACTTCGACAATTTTAGAACAAAGAATGTGGAAGCGGTGATTTAGAGACCGGCTCCGTAAGATTTAGCGTTAGCATAGAGGATCTCGTGGCAAAAAAAAAGACAAAATGAATCTACAGTAATCTCCGAAAGACAATGAATAGTTTAAGAAACGGTACCATTTCGTCCAGATTGGTGTAATTGGTTGTCAATTCTTGGGCAGACCACGACGTCTTCATGTCCATGTGAACTCCCCGAGTCTCGAACTCTTTCGACCGAAACCGCGGATTTTTGCCGTGTCTCTGTCGGTCTTTCCGTTTCATCCCGAAATCCGCGGCGCTATTGCATCGATAAATAATACGAATCCCGAGTTGCCGTGCATCCGGTCCCTTTCTTCCCCGCCGCAAGAAGAGAGCACCTTATCATCCCCATGTCTTGGCTCCCGGGCTTCTCTATTCTTCGGCGACGTAATAAAAGATGCAGTATCCTATCCTTTCATATCACAGTCCATTGTTCAGCAGCGCAATAATACACTGTTACACTTTCTACGCGGGCATCATCAAACTTCGCCTCGTGTCGCGAGTTTGCATCCGCGCGCGCGGTCTGGCTGCACGGCGGGACTGCAATCGCGAAGTGCAATTCGCGGCGTTGCATCCCCCGGTCGAACCCGGCCTTGTCAGATGTCAAGTTCGCACCGTTTGTCTTGGGAAAGTTATCCGGGGAAATTTCGAGGTTGACAAAGCTCTCGTTACGCTGTTATCGGCGTTTCGCCCTTGAACACTGCTGTTACAGAACTTGTAGTTTGTTCGCCATGCAGACAATGATAGATGCGTCGCGAGGCATATATTTCACGAGGAAAATTAGACGAAACGAATAACTAGTGAAAGCGAAACATATTTCCGTTTATCGAGCGAATATGGACATTGTTACTTGATAAAAGGAACAATAAACGTTCGATCGCTAAAGAAGGCAACAATGTATACGCGCAATGCAATTGTTTCCGATATTGCTACTTTCGGTTGTTTACTTGTACCGCTAATATTTACATAACGAATTAATTACCGCTAATTAGCAATTTTGCATCGATCTACGTCGAACATTGCCGCAAACTGTTTGGCCAATTTCATGATTGTGGTTCTACGCCGATTTAAAACCGCACGCGTGCACACGAACATTTACAAACGCGGAATAATTTATAACGACGCGGAACGCGTTCTACAACCTTGGGGGGACGAAGCTTAACGCATGGAAAGGTAATTCACGAACGGGAAATTGTAACTGACGTAGAAATACAGCGAGCAAGCGTGTAGAACGCGAAAGAGAAATTGTGAATAAGTTCGGTGAGAAGTTATGAATAAGTATGGAAGAAAGATCGCAGCTATATCGCGTGGAATTTATTGTAATATCTGCGTGGAAATTGTTCGACGGCGAGGAATCAAGGGTGAATGGCAAACTCACTCGAGAAAGATACAACAACGACAGTGCGAGGGTTACCATCATAACTGCGTTGTTACCGACCTCTGCTCGCCTATGCAGTGTGTGCAGTATTGACGCGCATGTGCGACTTTCCTACCCTTACATTGTTGATAGCCGTGGCGACTGTGACTGGTGACTATCGAGGGTAGAAAGCTACGCGAAGCTCGTCAGTCGTGGTACAGTTTCATTGCGCCAGTAAATTTTCAGCATTCACCGAGATGGGGTGGTCGTAACATCTTTGCGATGCTATTCATTTTTTAAGACAACACGACATCAGACCTGCGTACAAATATTTCAACGAAGAAATACAAATATTTGCAAATACTATTTCGTTGCAGTTTATTCCTCGTGATAAAAATGTTTATTCAAACCGAACAATTATAGCACAGTAGGTACTCTCGCGTATTCAATATAATAGTAATGTAATATGATATAAATAATAATTAAAATAAACGTTCACACTCACACGATCATACATCGTTGGCCTCCAATGTATTTCTCTCCACAGTGTTATACATGATTCGTTTGAAATAGTAATTGATTTCTGTATGAAATGAAATACTGGTTGAAATACATAATTGATTATTTATTGGATAAGACAGCATGACATCAGACCTGCGTACAAATATTTCAACGAAGAAATACAAATATTTGCAAATACTATTTCGTTGCAGTTTATTCCTCGTGATAAAAATGTTTATTCAAACCGAACAATTATAGCACAGTAGGTACTCTCGCGTATTCAATATAATAGTAATGTAATATGATATAAATAATAATTAAAATAAACGTTCACACTCACACGATCATACATCGTTGGCCTCCAATGTATTTCTCTCCACAGTGTTATACATGATTCGTTTGAAATAGTAATTGATTTCTGTATGAAATGAAATACTGGTTGAAATACATAATTGATTATTTATTGGATAAGACAGCATGACATCAGACCTGCGTACAAATATTTCAACGAAGAAATACAAATATTTGCAAATACTATTTCGTTGCAGTTTATTCCTCGTGATAAAAATGTTTATTCAAACCGAACAATTATAGCACAGTAGGTACTCTCGCGTATTCAATATAATAGTAATGTAATATGATATAAATAATAATTAAAATAAACGTTCACACTCACACGATCATACATCGTTGGCCTCCAATGTATTTCTCTCCACAGTGTTATACATGATTCGTTTGAAATAGTAATTGATTTCTGTATGAAATGAAATACTGGTTGAAATACATAATTGATTATTTATTGGATAAGACAGCATGACATCAGACCTGCGTACAAATATTTCAACGAAGAAATACAAATATTTGCAAATACTATTTCGTTGCAGTTTATTCCTCGTGATAAAAATGTTTATTCAAACCGAACAATTATAGCACAGTAGGTACTCTCGCGTATTCAATATAATAGTAATGTAATATGATATAAATAATAATCAAAATAAACGTTCACACTCACACGATCATACATCGTTGGCCTCCAATGTATTTCTCTCCACAGTGTTACACATGATTCGTTTGAAATAGTAATTGATTTCTGTATGAAATGAAATACTGGTTGAAATACATCATTGATTTTACGAATATATATTATAAATATTTAAAGTATATACATATGTTACGATATGAAACCAAAATTTACATAAATATTTTCTTTATTGGGCGTGAAATGAAACCCGCGAATATTATTTCTGCTGTTTCATTTCGAAGAAAGTAACGAGGTTCTTATATAGACAGCGGTTTAACAATATAAGATCATTGCAATATAAAATCTTTACGATGCCATTACTTTTTTAAGACAGTAACAGATGTTAATCGCAAACATTTCCACAGTTTTGGTAATCATAGATGTGCTAAATCTCGAATAACATCGTGCTATTCGTTATTTTATTTATTTATTTAACGGCGGATTTTCTGCGTTCGTAACTAGATCGTGCAAAATTTGACGTAGAAATATAGTATTCCCATCGTCTTCGAATTGATTTAACAGGTCAAATAAATGTTCTCCAAAATTAATTTTCTATAAATCAATCTCTTTTAAATATTTGCTAACAGCATTCCAATTAAATCCTTGGCAACGTTCGATGCGCTCCAGTAACGATTAATTCCACAGAATGTAGTAATCGATTAGTATACGGCGTTTATCGCGTCAGGGAATGTTTTAATAAAATAAATGAATCCCGATGGGTTCGGTGAGACTGGAGTTCAAGGCCAGTGTGTCAAGGTTCTCCAGAAATGACGGCAATATCCATGAAAACGTGACCCGTCGAAAATGTATTGGAATCGAGAGAAGTGCGACCATCTCGTCGCAAAACTGAACAATAAAGTAATTGACTGCTTGAGCGTGTCGCAAAATTGAAGGCTCCGGATAGTAGATCTAATATTTGACGATACTTTCGTGCTCTTATCCGATATTAAAGTACCAGAGACAATGATCTGAACAGAATGATGAATTCCTCTACATCGTTTGTGTTACAAAAAATTGCTTCGTTGTAATAAATAATCCAATTGCTTCGTTAGATTTATCAATAGAAACCGCACAAGCCGTTATAACTGAAATGCTTCCCTAGCAAGACTAGAATTTATTTTAAGACTTGAACTATATTATTTGGCAATGCTCGGAGTGTAGGACCTCACGCGTAACTTCGCTGGAATTCCTTCTTAAATGCAATTATATGCAGCACGACTCGTGAATGCATTTTTAAGCAGACCAAACATTCCAGGGTTATAAATAATCTTCTCTCGTAATATTCGGCTATAATCTGATCGAAACATCTGTTTAAAAATAGTCCTAATCGCATAATATTGTCGCAAAGTCGCGCACGATTTACAGTGCAAAGCGCATTTCTTTGCACGACAATTCCATTGAGACTCGTGACATTAATTCGTCCGTGTTCCTTCGTTCGTTCCGCGAATTCCGAATGTCACGAACTCTTATTACCGCTGAATTTTTCATTCATTCCTCGAAACTGGTGCAACGCGCACAAGATTGTTCGAATCGCTGAATGTTGATGCATATTTCGCTCGGAAACACGTGCACGAGAAAATTCGAGGTACATACTCGCGTGTCTCGTTGACGCAAGCCGGATTATTTAGAATTTCCCCTGCCGCAGCATTGAAATTCAAAGTTCAAGGTTCCCGGGATGAGATTTGCATAAAACGTCCGCATAGCCCCCCTCCCCCTGTTTTGTTGAAATACCGCGAATTTCATTCGGACTATATTAATTGCGGCCGTGGGAACGGCGCTCGTGTAAAAAATTTCTCCCGCGATAATGTTTTTCGCATAGCGCATTTAAAGAGTCGCGTAAAATCTTGTACAATCCAACCAACAACAATATAACGATAACAACATTCAATGATTAACGCAATTGTGCTTCTAAAATAGTTACATTTCTATATTATTTCTCAATTTTGAAATAGTAATTTATTTCCGTATTAAATGAAATACTAATACAAATATATATAATACATATTTTTAAAATATATATTTTACAATATGATCCTAAAATACTTAACTGAAATAAATATCTTCTTTACTGTGCGTGTAATCAATGAAATATTGCTGAACAAATTATTAGCATTTATTATTAGCTATTTATTATTAGCTATGAGATAGCTATTATTATTACGATTAGCTATTATTATTAGCTGTGAGATATCATTTCAGATATTTACGTTATTAACAGCAACCAGATGTGAAACGTTCCAATTACATTCATTAATTAAAAAAAATATAAGAAGAAGCTTGTTTCTCAAAACAATACGTGCTTTTCACTTTTTCTATAGGAAATAGAATTTCAAATAATTAATAAAAATCATGACACGCGAAATACTATTTCAAATAATTATATTCAATACATCTTAAGAAAATGCGCCCTCGATCAACAATTTGCTTTGTCGCAACGTAAAAAACTATATTAAATACACGTACTTGTCTCTACGACGTCAAACAAATCTTGAAGTATCATTTCATACAAACAAGAGTGATTTCATTAACTATTTCCAAGGACATTGTTCAAATATCTTTACCCAGGTGTGATCGCACGTTCTCGCTTTCGCAATAAATGCGTGAAATCCACACAGTCTAATAATTATCGGGCATGCGAGGTTATTTTATCCAGCGATTTTATCAAATCGTTTCTGCATGAAATCGATTAAACGTGTATTCGACGATTCGCGTACACCGCGATTCGACCCATCGATTATTCAGCTTGTTGACGGAGCGATTTAGAAAATAACTTTGATATTGGCAAGTGGCTCGTTCCCATTGTTCCTGGCCACGGGAACGAAAATGCAGAAA